CACCCATTTGAGTCATTGCCACTCGCACTGCTTAGAGGACTCTGTGACACCCCTCTCAATTTCTTCAGTTTATCTGAAGAGCTCTTCAGGTTTTGAGGCATCTCTTCCTATATTAAGTTGGTAATTTTGTTTTCCTGGAGAATCAGCAGCAAGTTTATCAGAGTTACACAAAGTGCAGTAACCCCTGTGCCTGGCTCAGTGCTGACTTTTCCTTTTTTATTCTTGACCCCTGGGTGGGCATGTGGACTCCATTTGGTCCCGTCCAACTTTTGCTTAGGAGGCCCCCCCTTTCTTTCCTCCCACCAGCAGCACAGCTGTTGAACCAAAGCATCTTGTTCCACACCCTCCCAGTGTGAGATCAAGATGCTCATGACCTATAGGAAGCTCTTTCCGCTGTGCTACTTCCCAGAGGTAGTTCCTGGAGCCGAATTAGCTGATTTTTAATTTATGTTGATTTTTTTCTAATTTAATAGTAAAGGGGTTTAGGATTATGAATTTTCCTGTTGATATGGCTTTGGCAATACAGTTTCTTAAATCAACTTTGTTTTTTTAGAGTGGTTTTAGGTTCACAGCAAAATTAAGAGGAAGGCACAGAGATTTCTATACACCTCTGCCCCTAATACGCACAGCCTCCCCACTGCCAGCACCCCACACCAGGGTGGTGCGCTTGCTAGAATCAGTGAACCCATGCCAACACATTATCCCCTGAAGTCTGTGGTTCACAACAGAGTTCACGCATGGTGATGCAACTTCTGGGGGCATGTGTGTCCATCATTACAGTTTCACACAGAATAGTTTTACAGCCCTAAAAGTCTTCTGTGCTCCACCTGTTCATGCCTCCCTCTCCCCACTTCTGTCCACCACTGGTCCTTTCACTGTCTCCATAGTTTTGTCTTTTCCAGAGTGTCACAGAGCTGGAATCATTCAGCATGCAGCCTTTTTTCACATTGGCTTCTGTCACGTAGCAATGTGCAATAAAGTTCCTCCACGTCTTTTCATGACCTGATAGTGCATTTCTTGTCAGCACAGAATAATGCCACACTGTCTTGCTCCCATCCACTGAGGGACACCTTGGTTACTTCCAAGTTAAGACAATTATGAATAAAGCTGCTATGAGCACCCGTGTGCAGACTTCCATGTGGACCGAAGTTTTCATCTCAGTCGGGTAAACCCCAAAGAGCACAATTGCTGGGTCATATGGTTCCGAGTATGTTTACTTTTGTAAGGAACCGCCAGACTGGCTTCCAAGGTGGCTGTTCCACGCTGGGACCCCCAGCAGGGAGCGAGAGCCGCTGCTCCACATCCTCGCCAGCATTTGGTGTTGGCTGCGCTCTGGATTCCGGCCGTTCTAACAAGCGTGTGGTGGCGTCTCAGGGTTTTGATTTGCATCAGCCTGATGATGAGTGACGCTGAGCATTGTTCCAGGTGCCTGTCAGCTTCTTGGGTCAGGTCTTTTGCTTATTGTTTTAATGGAGTTGTTCATTTTCTTATTGTTTACTTGTGAGTTCTTTGTGTGATTTGGACGGCAGTCCATTATCAGACGTATCTTTTGCACAAATGCCCTTTGCTAGGCTGAGGCTGTCTTCTCATTCCCTTTACATAGTATTTTTCAGTTTAGGAGAGAGTTTTTGATTTTCAGAGGTTTGTTTTTTTTCCCTGCTTTTATTTTATTAATGTTTACTCTCAGTGCAGTTTGATCTCAGAATATGGTCAACATTATTAAGGTTTTTAGAATTTGGCGTTTTCTTTATGGCTAACAACCGTTTCCATGGATACCTGTGCTGTTTTGACCCACTTCTATTGGCCCCCTTTTCATATGGTGGACATCTTGATCCCAAGGATGGTTTGAATGCACAGTTTTAAGTCAGAATTATACCAACAAGATAAATTTCCATCCAGAAAGTATTTTCAACAAGAAGTCCAAGTTAAGTGCAGCGAATCACATCAGTACCTCAGTGCATCATTTGGGAGTCAGGGGCCAGGTCTCCAGAAGCAATGAATGGAGGGCCCAGGGCACCTTATCTGTGGCGAGAGACAGAAGCCTATGGCTGCCGTCCAGACTCCGTCCTTACCTGGGAGAGTACCTGGTTTTTGTTCCTAGCCAACATTGCACAAACTGACTGGCAGGGAAGGGTAAAATGGGGGCAGAAGGGCCAGCTGGCCCTGAACCCACACACACACACACACACACACACACACACACACACACACACACACACACAAGTTCTCTATTACCAGCAGACAGAAAACACACTCCTTTGCTGCCTGGCTGGGACCCAAGCCAAGCCGATCAGAGTCCTCTTGTGAGTTTTCCAGGAAGGAGGCGCTCTTTATCTCTGGGATTTTTGGATATAAGCCTAGAGCTCCTGGGGGTCTTCTCAGCCCCATGTATTTGGAGACTGCCTGCCAAGAGGATATACTGGGGAAAGTAGGAGAGAGAGAGAAACCCTGATTACATTATTTGAACACTTGGAGCCAGCTGTGTCCTGCAGCCTGTTCTACTTTGGACTTGCAGTTCTATGGGCAATAAACCCTTTTTTGGGCTTAGGGTAGATTGAGTTGGACTTGTGTTACTGGAAACTGAAAAATCCTGCCTGGTGTATCAATTTAACGCCATGACTTGGACTGGGCTGGTAGCAGAGATAAGGAAAGAGGTGGACAGCTTCAAGTTACCTTCCAGGGAAAGAAGCTTCAGACTTCCAGATGGATTTGATATGGTAGGAGAGGGAAAGAGGTGATCAAGGTTCAAACCTAGATTTTTGGCTTAGGCAACTGGCATAGACTTGGCATTTGCTGAGCTAGCAGAGAAGGTCCGGTGGAGAGAACCAGAGTGCCTTTGTGAGCACATTAGGTCCAAAGTGCCTGTTAGGTCCCGTGCTCACTGCAAGTGCTTTCTTATAAAAGCTGCCCTATTTCTGAGTTCTTGGGAATAATTTCAGCACTGACTGCATTTCATTTCATCCCCAGTTGTTTTGCAAGAAGGTGTTTATGGCCCATAGATGTCTGCTTGCATGCTAACTTGGCTGCTCAGAACGTCCCAGAGCTGCTGTCTGTGGCCCACTGCCTCTGAGGTGCGCCCCCACTGTTGCATGTGCCAGGAGAGGGGGGCCTGACTGTCTCCCTCTGGTCAGTGCTGTGGGGTGTTGTCTGGAGGCCTGTAGGAACCTTTCTTTGTCCTTTAAGTTCAGTGAGGCACCAGGATAGTCTCTATTTTTACAGCTCTACTTAGGTTCTTATTGGAACATTTGGATCTTTTTTTTTTCCAGGCTCTTCCTTCATTTGAATCATATATTCTAGTAATACAAACACATATTTAAATATATACCTAGATATATGCATTTTTTCTGTTCTAATTATGCCTTTCGCTGTGGGTTGAATTGTGTTCCCCCTAAGATTTGTATGTTAAAGCCCTAGCCCCCCCCAGAGTGCTGGTATCTGGAGGGAGAGTCTGTAGGTGATGATGTTGAGGACATCAGTAGGAATGTGGCCCTGATCTAACAGGATTGAGGCCCTAGACGAAGAGAAAAAGAGAGAGGTCGCTGTCTCCGTCACGTGAGGACGTGGGAGAAGAAAGCTGCCCTATTTCTGAGTTCTTGGGAATAATTTCAGCACTGACTGCATTTCATTTCATCCCCAGTTGTTTTGCAAGAAGGTGTTTATGGCCCATAGATGTCTGCTTGCATGCTAACTTGGCTGCTCAGAACGTCCCAGAGCTGCTGTCTGTGGCCCACTGCCTCTGAGGTGCGCCCCCACTGTTGCATGTGCCAGGAGAGGGGGGCCTGACTGTCTCCCTCTGGTCAGTGCTGTGGGGTGTTGTCTGGAGGCCTGTAGGAACCTTTCTTTGTCCTTTAAGTTCAGTGAGGCACCAGGATAGTCTCTATTTTTACAGCTCTACTTAGGTTCTTATTGGAACATTTGGATCTTTTTTTTTTCCAGGCTCTTCCTTCATTTGAATCATATATTCTAGTAATACAAACACATATTTAAATATATACCTAGATATATGCATTTTTTCTGTTCTAATTATGCCTTTCGCTGTGGGTTGAATTGTGTTCCCCCTAAGATTTGTATGTTAAAGCCCTAGCCCCCCCCAGAGTGCTGGTATCTGGAGGGAGAGTCTGTAGGTGATGATGTTGAGGACATCAGTAGGAATGTGGCCCTGATCTAACAGGATTGAGGCCCTAGACGAAGAGAAAAAGAGAGAGGTCGCTGTCTCCGTCACGTGAGGACGTGGGAGAAGGCAGCCATCTGCTCACTGGGAAGAGAGCCCGGCTGGGACCCGGCTGATCTCAGACCGCCATCCCAGAGCTGTGGTCTTTGTTTAATACGGTTGAAGCCCAGGCTGTGGTATTTGTGATGGCCGCCCGGCAGACAGGACACCGTCCTCTCCTCCAGCGAGATCTTTAGCATCTTGGGCATCTTTATTTTCCGTCTGTGGTCTTACCTGTCTCCTTGGCCTCTTCCTCGCTCTTTGCCTTACATCTCACTGTCTGCATCTGGAATGTGGGGTTAGCCCTCACAATTTCTAGGGTCTCTAGTTTCATCTCAGGATGAGAACTTAATTTCTCTCTGACTCATTTGAGATTTGAAGCATCATGTTACCTCGACACTAGTGCCTATGTTTTAATTTATGAAGTTTTTGCATGTTTGTAACAGATGTCACAGGGTCCCGCCCTTATCCCCCCAACCTGATCATTACAGCAAATACTAGATTTCCATCTGCACTGTCTGTCTTTCAGTGAGGGCTGTGCCATCTGGACAGAGGCAGGACCGAAGTGTGTGTGTGTGTGTGTGTGTGTGTGTGTGTGTGTGTGTGTGTGTGTGTGTTGGGAGGTCAGTACTCAGGGCGAAACAGGAGTTGACAGGAGTTGGCATATAAATATCCCAGCTTCCCACCCTGCGGGGGACGCATCTTTGAGGTTTGTGTTTTGTGCCAGCCCCCGGGGATCAGGTCCACTCACTGTGGTCAGATATGCTTCCGGTGGGAGTCGTTAGGGAATGCCAGCCTGATGGAAAAGAAGGAGAAAGGTAGGCCCACAGAGGCTGCTGTGCCTGCGCCCATCCCCTTGGAGACTTGTTTGCTAGTTTCTGATATTTTCCTCCATTGTTCTTTTTCTTGCAAGTATATACACTTATTCCCTCCTTTTATTTAAACAGTAAAGAATATTCTGTACCTTCTGTTCTCCACTTAAAATAAATGTGAGAGAACATGACAAAAAGAACAGAGATGAGATCGCAGGTAGAAAACACGAAAAGGCTTCCAGGATGTAGATAATAACTCCAAGGTAGAGAATGATGTCTTAGTCTGCTCAGGCTGTGAGAATAGACACCGTAGACCAGATGGCGTAAACCACAGAAATTAACTTTCTCCTGTGTGCCCTGCAGATCCCAGAGGGAAGCCAGTACCTAGAACTCTGCATTTCTTTTAGGATTGCATTTGACTTCATTGTGTCACTATGCATATGATAGTTTGTGTCACTAAAGCAGAGGTGCTTTAACCTGAGGAAATATGTAGATGTCTTCTTTTCCCAGTGGAAAATGTTTTTTTGGAAATAAAAATCTCATTGTAGTTGTATGTAAAATTGCAGCATCTGTTATCCTCAGGAAGCAGAGGGAAAAGAGATGGACGCTGCCAGTACGCAAAGCATCCGTCCTCCCTCCCAGTGGGCCGGTCGTGGGTGCTCCAGCTGCAGCCCTGTGAAGCTTGCACGTGCTCCTTTGCATGCTTGCGCTCCGTACACTTGCCGGTGACCACCACATGCCAGCCTGCTCTGGCGTCTGGGGATCCAGGGGTGGAAAAAGCCCTCAGACAAACATCCCTGCCCGCCCAGAGTGCACAGCTATGAGCTAGCTTGGAAGGGCTTAAGAGGAAGATGTGGACAGGGAAATGGACACGAGATGTTGCATGTTTCTCAAGTTTTATATGAAGCAGCAGCACTGTTCGTAATATTCTGTACCCCAACATGGAGCCCCTTCCGACTCATCTGCGTGAACGGCTGGGGAAGGAGTAAAGTGGTGGGTTCACAAGGACGCTTAGAAGAGAAGCGCCCATGGCCTGGGGGGTAAATGGCCTCAGAGGCAGGCAGGGAGAGCCGGACTGTGGGCTGGGGCCCAGGGGGCGATGCCACAGTGATCCGCGCAGAGGGCCCACAGGCACAGTGGCTCTGGCAGGTGCTCGGGGCTGTGCCCTGTCCTTCCTGCAAGGAGAGCCAGTCCCTTCTATTCCCCTCACAGATCTGGGCTATCCAACCATCTCAGAGAACTTAGACCACATGTTCCTACTGCTTCCAGGCCACTGCCTGGGAATGGCTTTCTCCAACTTGTACTACAACTATGAACTACGCAAGTTCTGCTATACCAAGAACCTGAACCAGACTGAGTGTGATCAAATTTGTGAGTATTGCAAATGGAATTTGTTTGATACGTTTTGTTGAGATAAAATCTACATACAATTCCATGGGTTTTGGTACATTGACAAGGTTGTGCAGCAATCACGCCTTCTCCAGTTCCAGAGCATTTTCAGCCCCCAAAAGGAGACCCTCCGCCCACGACAGTCGCTGCTCAGGTCCCTCCCCCAGCCCCTGGCTGCCACTCGTCGGCACTCTGTCTGCATGGATGTGCCTGTTGTGAACATTTCACATAAGTGGAATCCTTCAGTATGTCGTGGCCCCTTGTGTCTGCTTCCTTCGCTTAGACTGTTGTGTCCCAGGTTCATCCAGGTTGTAGCACACATCAGAACCTCATTCCTTTTTATAGCTGAATAATATCCCATTGTGGAGAGACCTCATTTTGTGTATCCATTCATCCATCAGCTGATGAACCTATGGCTTGTTTTCACATTTTGCCTATTATGAGTAATGCTGCTATGAACATTTGTGTACAAGTTTTTGTGTGGATGTGTTTGTGTGCCTAGGAGTGGAACTGCCGGGTCATACAGCAGCTTTGTGCTTAGCTTGGTGAGGACCCGCCAAACCGTTTTCCACCATGGCTGCACCATTTTACATTTTACCAGCATTGTATGAGGATTCCAGTTTGCCACATCTCCAAGATTTCTTATACAGTAATTTGTGAATTACTGTAAAATATACAAAGTTTACCATTTTAAGCATTTTTAAGTGGTCAGTCCTGTGGCATTAAGCACATTCACACTGTTGGGCAGCACCCCCACCATCCTTCTCCAGAGCTTTCCTCATCTTGTAAAACTGACACCCTGTCCCCCTCAAACACTTGCTCCCCGGCCCCTACCTGCCACCACTTTCTGCTCTGTGGGGTTGACTACTCCCGGCACCTCATGTGAAATCTTTTAGTCCCTTTTTCACCTCCTTTTGTGTCTATTCTACAGCTGTTTTTGTGTGGTTACCATGGGGATTACACTGAACATCCTAAAATTAAAACATTCTAATTTGAATTTATACCAGCTTCACTTCAACAACATATAAAAACTCCCCTCCTATGCACCACCCCCTCCCCATTCCTTTTCAGTTACAATGTCACAGTACAGTTATATATTGTGTCTAGAAACGTAGACCAATAATTGGCTTTTCACACAGTAGTTTCCTAAATCATGCCAGAAACAGAAAGTGGAGTTACAAACCAAAGCTGCGACACTGGCTTTCACAGCTGCCCCTCTGTTTGCCTCTGCCGGAGAGCTTTATTATTTTAATCTGTATGTCATGATACGGTCAGTGTCACTAAGAATTATTAAATGAAGCAACTGAGCTGGAGAATATCATGCATAGCATCATCCCACTTATATTTTAAAAGATTATCTCTAGAAAGTATGAAAGGAATATACACAAAACTGTGGCAACACGAACAGTTTTGGGGGGTGGGGAGCCACTGTTCCTTCATACCTCATTCGTGTCCTTTTTTCCAATCAGTGTGTATTTATTGTTTAATCTTAAAATACATGTATTTAAAGGAGAGATTAAGGCAGACCAGGTTAGAAAAGGAGACTGGAAGCCCTGAGTGTTTTTATAGGAGTGGCGAGGTGAGGTTGCAGGGTGATGAATGATTAATGGAACCAGACATAAATACCTTGCGTCTCACGTAGCATAGCTGCCACAGGGTCAAGGAGAGGTCCCCTCTTTACTGCATGATTTTTACAGAACCTGGTCACAGCAATAAACACAAAATATTACTCGTGTCTACCATCTCCTGGGATGTGCTAATAGCAGTGATGACCAGGAGTAAAAAAATAGCAGTATTTATTAATTCAACAACAGCATTTATTATTTTAAATTATATTTGTTGTAATAGAGTTTACCTACTCTATCTAAAAGGTGAAGAAAAGCTTGGAAAATCACTTGAATTTGGACAGCATGTTTATCCCATTTTAGCAGAGGGATATACAGCTCAGAAGAACATCCATGCCTGGACATCTCTAGGGACGGGGAAGTACCTCGCAACCCTTGCCATCTCAGGATCTGTGTACCTCATCCTGCGTTGGCTCACGGAAACCAGTGTCTGGTGGGAACTGAAAGCCAGGTGTCCTGGCTTCTACAGGAAGCAAAAACTGGTGAGTGTGTCAAGTGTAACTCTCTAAGGACAGATCGGGGGGCTGGCCGAGGGAGCCTGGAGGTACCTCACAGACCCTCCAGGCAGAGAGGGGATGGGCTGTGCCTGGGACCCCTGGGGATGCCATGGGAAGAGTGCTGGCCAAGGTCAGTGGAGTAGAGCGAGGCCCTGGGTCTCCTAGGCCAGCCAGCTTCCCGGAGCACCTCTTCCCCAGTCATCCGAGGGCCTGAGAGGAGAAAGGTGTGTTCTGTCGGCTCTTGGCCTAAATAGGAAGCTCTGTAGAAAATGTGGTTTATTTTACCCTGATGTCCCCAGGCTTCATGTCTTTTAATTTTCTTCAAAAGCTGATGCCACATGAAGTCTGTGTGATCACCCTGCTGTGGGGGCCGCTGGTGTTCAGTCTTGAACACCTGTTGTTGCCCTGAGAGGCGGGGAGTGTTTGTGGGAACTGAGGTCGGCAGGGCACCTTCCAGGCCTTCCCAAGTTGGAGGCCAGTGCATGGGCCCCTCCACAGCGGCTAAGGCGGTTGCACCTCCCATCCAGGGCTCGGGAAAGCAGGTGTCCTTGCAGAGCACAGTGTCAGCGCCCTGTGACCAAGATGTAGAAGAGGAGGCGAAAATGATCGAGACTTGCTTGGAAATCCTGTGTGAGAAAAACCCACTGGTTGTTAAAGAAGGGTCAGACAGGGTGATGAATGATTAATGGAACCAGACATAAATACCTTGCGTCTCACGTAGCATAGCTGCCACAGGGTCAAGGAGAGGTCCCCTCTTTACTGCATGATTTTTACAGAACCTGGTCACAGCAATAAACACAAAATATTACTCGTGTCTACCATCTCCTGGGATGTGCTAATAGCAGTGATGACCAGGAGTAAAAAAATAGCAGTATTTATTAATTCAACAACAGCATTTATTATTTTAAATTATATTTGTTGTAATAGAGTTTACCTACTCTATCTAAAAGGTGAAGAAAAGCTTGGAAAATCACTTGAATTTGGACAGCATGTTTATCCCATTTTAGCAGAGGGATATACAGCTCAGAAGAACATCCATGCCTGGACATCTCTAGGGACGGGGAAGTACCTCGCAACCCTTGCCATCTCAGGATCTGTGTACCTCATCCTGCGTTGGCTCACGGAAACCAGTGTCTGGTGGGAACTGAAAGCCAGGTGTCCTGGCTTCTACAGGAAGCAAAAACTGGTGAGTGTGTCAAGTGTAACTCTCTAAGGACAGATCGGGGGGCTGGCCGAGGGAGCCTGGAGGTACCTCACAGACCCTCCAGGCAGAGAGGGGATGGGCTGTGCCTGGGACCCCTGGGGATGCCATGGGAAGAGTGCTGGCCAAGGTCAGTGGAGTAGAGCGAGGCCCTGGGTCTCCTAGGCCAGCCAGCTTCCCGGAGCACCTCTTCCCCAGTCATCCGAGGGCCTGAGAGGAGAAAGGTGTGTTCTGTCGGCTCTTGGCCTAAATAGGAAGCTCTGTAGAAAATGTGGTTTATTTTACCCTGATGTCCCCAGGCTTCATGTCTTTTAATTTTCTTCAAAAGCTGATGCCACATGAAGTCTGTGTGATCACCCTGCTGTGGGGGCCGCTGGTGTTCAGTCTTGAACACCTGTTGTTGCCCTGAGAGGCGGGGAGTGTTTGTGGGAACTGAGGTCGGCGGGGCACCTTCCAGGCCTTCCCAAGTTGGAGGCCAGTGCATGGGCCCCTCCACAGCGGCTAAGGCGGTTGCACCTCCCATCCAGGGCTCGGGAAAGCAGGTGTCCTTGCAGAGCACAGTGTCAGCGCCCTGTGACCAAGATGTAGAAGAGGAGGCGAAAATGATCGAGACTTGCTTGGAAATCCTGTGTGAGAAAAACCCACTGGTTGTTAAAGAAGGGTCAGAGGTAAGGCCAAATGTGGCTTAAAAGCAGCGTCCGTTACTCCTGTGGGCCCTCTGCTGGCTCTGAGTACTGGCAAAGGACTCAGGTGGGGTCAGTGGGAGGGAGGTTCCCAAGTGAATCCCCTGGGAGTTTGTTTGTGTGCTCAAAGAGGGAAGTCAGTGCCTCAGCCTTCCCCTGCAGGAGGGCCTGGGACGGGAGGCACACAAGCCCCAGCCCAGGCACAGGCAGCCTCCCAGACCAGATGGACTGTGAATCTCTCCCGGATCTAGAAAACAGCTTGCACAGGAGCCGAGGTGGGGAAGAGGCTCCGAAAGCTGGTTCCCAGCCTGGTTAGACTCCCTGAGAGCCTGGCCAGAATTTTGAGACCCTTCAAACATCCAGAACTCCCCAAGTCTGTTAGCTTTATTCTGTTTCCCTATAGTTACTGGTGGTTAAAAAAACAAACCAACTCAGCAACAGCAAAGGGTTTGGGTTTTGTTTGCTTCAAGGCCAGAAGGGGGCTGTCCTAGAGAACCAGCTCCTCAGTTTTCAGGGAAGGAGGAGGAGAGCAAACCTCACTGACGCCGCTGGGAGCAGCGGCCAGAGGAGCTGGCAGACCCCAGCCTGGGTACCTAGCACCCTGGCACGGAGGGCAGCTCAGGCCCGCCCCTGGAGCAGCGCCACCTGCTGCCTCCGGCCCCTCACTGCGCCTGTGTCTCAGGTCTATGCCAAGAAGGTGCCACCACTGGCCCTGAACGAGTTCCCCTTCACCGTCCAAGCAGAGGAATGCTTTGGCCTCCTTGGCCTCAGTGGAGCAGGGAAAACTTCTGTTTTCAAAATGCTGATGGGGGAAAAGCCCATCACCTGTGGGGATGCCTTTGTCAAGGGCCTCAGCATCAGTTCTCACCTGGGGTAGGTAGGCACCACCCTGGGGATGGCGTGTCAAGAAGAGAGGCACTTCAGTACGCCTGGTGGTGTTACACAGGCTTTGGGAAAGGGATGGCATGGACGTGGTCTTTGAAACTCCCATGTGTCAGGTTTATCTGCGACTCCCAAATCCACACCTCCATCCTAGACCTCTTCTCCGAGCTCCAGATTGCAGGTCAAGCCAATTACTCACATCACCTCTCGAATGTCCCACAGGTGCCTGAAACTCTGTGGATCCCTCCCCCTTTATTGTTTTATAACCAAAGGGCTGTCGGGATCATGCCTGTCTTAGGTCGTCCGGAGTCTGCAGCATTCTTACCCGTCCTCAGGCAACAGACAGCTTAGGTCTGCGCCCTGTCTTAGGTTGATATGCGCAGCTCCCGATCTTACCCGTCCTTGACTACTGATCCAGCATATTAAGCCATACTCTAGGGGAGATGCCTTCCTCTAGCGCTGCATGGCCTGCAACAGGACCTTCCGTTCTCCCCGTTGCTGTTTTTGTATGGAACAGACTTTCCTCCCAAGCACGAGGAGGCCCACAATTAGCAATAGTCCTATGACACCTACACCTGACCAGGCTTTGGTGGCGTTTAACATCTTGCCTAACTGTCTGGACAAGTTGGCAGCTTTAGAATAATTATGAAAAGGAATACCAGTAATACACCCCCGTATAAGAATGGACGCAGCCCACAGACAAAACCTCCCCCAAGAGGTCCAATTGTTCTTGAAGAAGGTTCATGCGTTGGTTGACCAAGGCCATCCCATTCTTAAAATGGCC